GCGTAGAATTACTAAAATCGAGGAAACAAGTGAAATACCATTTTCGACGTCGAACATTTGACCATCAAACAGTCCCTCGAAGCGCCATCGTTTTCATCGCCGTGCTTCTTCTCACGACGTCTCACCAATGGCGCAGCGAGCGAGTTAGTAGCGATTAGCCAGCTAGAAAGTTAGATTAGTTTGGCAACGTTAGCGAAGCATCGTCCACTTTAGAGAGCGACAAGCACACGAGAGATCGTCGTCGTCATCGTAGAGAATGCAGCGATCTCGCGCACGTCATCACGGTGTAAACGTAAGTCGTGACAAACAGAAAGAAATGAAAAAAAAGAAAGAACGAAAACACCATGTGTCTCTGGTAACTGGTTACTGTTTCATTTTTCATTTAGTTCTCTTCTATTTTATACACGGTGCCGCGATAAAATGTGACGATTTTCTAACAGCTGATTGTGAAATGCTCGGATTAAATAGAAACAATTCGTTGTCGTCTATTGTTCGAATTCCAGTCAATTATGGTTTATTTCAACTTCACAAATGTCAATTGATTGATAAATTTCATTGTGCAAATATTTTTTAATACTTGCACCATGAGAAATTTTTCAACGAACTGTCCAAGACACTGATATCCTTTTTTAAATAGAGTTTTCCTACTTGCTTTCGTTTAAAGATACTGTAGAACAAGGTTTACAAAAGAATTTCACAAAAATTGTAATTATTTTCGCAATCAGCTGTAGCCATATGACATAATCTTTGCTGTGAAAGTACAAATTTCACTTCAATTCATTCATCTCTTGAAAAATCGCCAAATTCTATCAACACACCAATTATTATCATTTCTTTCTTAATTCACACCGACACACTATTTACTCACACTGTGGTTCCTCGTTGTGCACCATACTCTCGAGATTGTTATTTTTCGTCTCGGAGGATTTCACATCCTCTTTTTTTTTCTTCACCAAGTCTCTTCTCTGTGTCTCTCTCACCATCACACACTGTCTTCCACCGTTCGTTTCTTTTTCTCTCTTTATTGTCTGTGCATCGAACTCCATCTGATCACACAAAACGAGAACAAACTGCCCACCATCACCCCCTTTTTTTAGGTCTGAAACACACCATCTCTCACCGCCACGTGGTATCGTCACCGTTACACGATCTCACTGTCACCTCTCTCTCTCTCTCTCTCTACCTGTATCTCTCCCCCCGGTGTTATGGATTTATGAACACCAACGCTGACTTGCCTGTTCTTGGTTTTCGCCCATTTTTCTTCGCCCAACCCTCTCCGCTCGTCGCGTTTCCGCTTCACGTTCTCGCACGTTTCGCATGGCTTGCGTCTTCGCCTTTGTAGTATTATTGAAGTTTATCGCGTTATAATGATCCCCCTGTCTCTCTCTCTCTGTTCGCCTTAACTGTGCTTTATTTCCACCGTTTCGAAGACTTCGTTCCTTTCAACTGGTAACGTTACATCGAAAGCGCTCTCTTTTGTTTACTTCGGGAAATGGGCTTTTTGAGCGAATTCTGGCGCGTTACTGTGAAAATGAAATTTTAGTCCTGGGTAAATTATGTGAAAATTTACGACGAAGTTTAGCTAAGTCTTCCATTTTTACTCCAAGTACTGTATCGAGTACCTTTAACGTTCACCTGTATCGATTAAGCTAAAATAACACTTAACCCTTTGTAACCAGAGTTTCCTTCGCTCAGAAGAGAAAATTACAGGTGATTACGATATTGTAGCTTTGAAAATGATAGAAAGGGAGAATTAATAATTACTATAACAGTACAGTAATAAACAAATAAATTGTAGAATCTATTCTTAACTAGGCTGTAAATGTTTGTGCAAAAATAACATGAAAATATGCAAAATTCTTCAAAGTAAACGTTTACAGTCTCACTGACTATACTATAATAAATTTATGTACAGATTATGGCTACCTATCTCGAGAGATTCTATCATAATCTCGCCCAGTTTGCACATTCTCGATCAATTCACAAGCAACTTTCTCGGCCCCAAAAAGTAGTTTACAAACAATTTGCCCAATTTTTCGGTGCAACCGTAACACCGCTCAAACATACCACCTACCAACCATCGAAACGAAGGGAAATAAGGCAAATCCAACATCAAAGGTCTTCTTCACGCCTCGCTTCGAAGCTTGCCACAGCTTTGCACCAGCTTGTTAGTCGTGCTTGATGCATCCGTTCCGCTTGTGCATGCCTCTGCATCGCGACACCCGTGCTTTTCTCAAACTTCGAGTCGAGTGTTTTCCAAGCAATAGACGTTTTCGATGGAAAACGCGCGAAGCACCGTGTGTTTTGCAGAAAATGTCCCACATTTTTTTACTTTCTTAAACCTACATTTACGTGAAATGCTCGCGGCTGGTGCATCGATTGCACTATACATCTACGTTCTCTCCGAAAGGAGTAGAAGAAAATAAAGAAACGAAGAAAAGAAAGCAAATCGAACCCGTACAATTTCTCTCCCCTTTTGTTTGTCTGAGAAAGCTCGAAGGAGCTCGATATCTCGGCGAGGAAGAACACATTTCCAGCCCTGAGAATCGGAGGCTCGTTCTCGTCCTTTGAGAAACGAGCAACAACTGCATCTGTTTCTCTCTCTCTCTCTGTTTGTCTACTTTTACTATCTGCCTCTCTGTCCCCTGTGCATCCTTTGTCTTACTTACTCTTTTCTTTTTTTTTTTATCAAGAATGAAACGAAAGAAGAATCGAACTTAACTCGTACTTTCGTCGCACTACTTGCTCGTTCGAGCACGATCCCAAGGAATTCTGTCTGTGTCCCACCAGGTTTATGATACTACTTAAGACTTGTTCTATTATCTGTGAAAGTGTATATCTTTTTTTCTTTTCTTATCGAACACGTTATTGTGTTTATTCTTTTTTTTTTTTTTTCTGGGAAAGGATCGATCTTTTTGATATTGTCCCCCCCCCGGACACGACGTCTGCACGTTCCTCGCGAACTGCACTGGTCCAGCACAAGTTCTCCTCGATTAGTATTTTACACCTGATTGTCCTGTGATCTTTCCCTGTTTCGTCGAACAGTGGATTTTTGAGAGCAACGTTTCTGTGCTTCTGAGAGAAAACGAAATCTCAAAGTTTACAGCTGTGGCAATTCTAAATCTAACATCATCGCAGAGCTGTAATGATTAATTTGGCAAATATGGAAAGTAAATTGTGAAAATATTATCTTCTGTATTTTACAGCTGTGACAATTCATTTGGCGTATAATGTTGAAAATAAATTCGCAAAATACTATTTTCCATATTTTTTTCCAAATTATGAAATTTCCAGTGGTAGCATTCGTTAGCAAAAATCAGAGATTCACTGTGAACGATCCACTTTACAACCTCTTACCACCTTTCTCTAATTCCTCAACAGGAATGACTTTCCCTCTTTTTCTTTTTCTTCAGTCGTGTGATCGTCACAGCACGTTTCCTCTACCTTCTCTCTCTCTCTCTTTACCTGTCCTTTCTTCAAACGAACCCGAGTCAATACGATACTTTGGACCGATGTATGATACTCGATCGAGAGACCATGTACGAAAGCGAATAAATACGCTCGGTGCTGCTATAACTCTCTACTTTGTCTATACATCTATCTCTATCTCTATCATCTTCCGTTAGTTTACATTTAGTGATTAATACGCTAGAGAGTACCTCGTTACCATTTACGCAGCTATTTAGCATCGTTTCTGTGGACTAGCTGGAACTCTGTGGCGCTTTGAGGAGTAAAAACGGATTACAGAAATTAATCGAACAAACAGATCGCTTTGGTATTGAGTGGTGAATGTTTTCTGCTTTGTATGTCGGCTTTCGTTTGTTCATTCGCACGATTGCATCGAACGTGAATTTTAACAAGAAGAATACTCGAAACTGTCGAAATTCTTCAAGTCGTGTTTACAAATTATCGATAAGTAATTCTTCGAGTAGATTACGAGTGAAGAGTTGTTAAAAAATTGTGGAAATTATTTAAATTGAAAATTTCGAAATTTGTGTTGCAAAATTTTTCTAATTAATGAACTATGAGAAAACGACCAAATATGAATATTACGTTCGATCAAGCGTGAAGCTTTTCTTTATCGATTGGCTATCTGTATTTGGTGAAATCGCTGTAAATCTCGCGAGCAATCGGTGTGTTCTCGACAACAGCCACCGAGTCCAGCTATTTTGCATGAAAAATCGCGATGAAACTCGCGGCACGTGTCTCACAGTGACTAAGAAAGCAATAAGCGGCTGCTCTTCGTCGGGTTGAAAAAAAAAAAAAAAAAGAGGAAAGAGCACAAGCAGCAGCGTGTGAAATTGGACACAGAGTGTTGGCGTTTGCAGAAGTTTGCCTGCGTTAATGAATCAGCTTGGTGAACCACGTCGACGTCGTGCTCTCAAAGCGGAATAATTCCTTTGAGGAACAAAAGAAAACCACCGCGCTTCTGTCAGTCGATGAAGTTTCTCTTCTTTCTACGGGACTATTTGCCCAACCAGAGGAATTATCAGCGTGGAATCGCAAACTTCTCCCCTATCCTTCGAACCTAATTATTCCGTTAAAGAACAGGACTCGAAGAAACGTCTTTTTCCAACTTTCGCAGCTTGTGATTCAAAATTGACGCCGAAAATTCGCCAACTCTCCGAGAGCCTTCGATATTCCATCTAAATTACTTGCAAGAGATCGAGGATGCAACGTCAACGTTAGAAATCAATTTGTGAGAAGTGAATTGCCAAACGAAAATTATCCTCCGTCGCGAATTTTCTCTAAAATTAGAAAAATTCAGTTTCCAAATAAAAGAATTGCTTTCTGATTAACCGTGCGACACTGTAGCCGCGAGAAATCTGTAAAAAGAGAGCTTAGCTCGATATTTGAAGCGCGTTGGCCTGGTCTCTAGTCGCATAAAGAGAAAAAGAAAAGATAAACGTGGGTGTTTTTCAAACGTAAATAAAATTTACAAATAAAAACAAACGAATGAAACTGTCGCATATCCGTGATGTATGTGTATTGTTGTACAGAGGATAAGAAGGGCGGCGTCGACCGGAGCTGCACGGTCATTGCCAAAGAACCCGAAGGTAAACCTTGCATATCGAAGGCAGAGAAACGTGTACATAACGCGCGTTTCGACGTCTCTCGTCTTCATGTGTATACATATATTATGTACCTCCGTCTAGATTTACATATATATATTTATATACGTATATATTCCACGTGTGTTACGTGTAAACGTCCTCCGGTTCAGACTGGCTTCTCCCGTTCGCGTCGCTGGAGCCGCGTGATCTTCTGTGGCTTCCGCTCTCTCTGTTTCACCCCGTGCGTTCAATTGTAGCGAAGATGTAAGAGGAGAAATATTCCACGTTGGTGAATGAATCAGGCGGGAAGTTTTGTGAAATTTTTCGAGATCGTTTTAACGAAAGTCGTTTGAATCTGGGATGATACTAGAATGCACTGTTTATCGGGAATAACAGTTGAATATTCGGTGATTCAGAGTTAAATTTTGGAAGCAACGAGATGGCAAATTTTTTGGGATAATAGAGACTCGATTTTAATCGGAAAATTGCAGAGGGAAGAATGAGAAATAAGGGAGATTTCCAGCACTTTGGGGGTTCCCTCTCGTCTCTAAAATTCTCTAGAGATAATGTTCATTTCACTTCACGTTTGAATCAAGTTTCTGGACTTGGATTGCAAAATTATTCAATTTGAGAATTGACACACTTTTGAAATTTGGAAACCGTCTGGTCGAGGAATTTTGGTTTACAGTGAAGGAAGTTTGGTGACACGCTGTATAATAGCGAGAACACCAGTGAAAAAGTTGAAGTTTCACGAGCGTCGATTGACGTTTAGAACGACAGGAAGGAGGAGCCTTTAGCGGCCTCGTTCCCGCGAGAATTTCCGGCAAGAGGGAAACCGGAAGTGGGCGACGAATCGGAGAAGCCAGTGCCACGAGGGGCTCAGTGACGAGCTTCGAGCCGAGCTTTTGCACCCTGTCTGTTCCAGCTTCCGCTAACTCGTACTTCGGATTTACCGTCTCTCCAGCCTCCTCTCGTTCCACGAACTAATAAGGACATTGCGTGCGTTGCCACCCCTTCTTGATCGGTCTGCAAAATTAACCGTAGCCCCTGTCATACGGGGATCGATCTTCCCCTGCCACCCTAATCACGACCCAAACCTTACGACTTGCACAACGATATTTATATATATGTACAGTCACGCGTGTTCGTACCTTTTTTGTGTTTTCGAAAATTGTACATATTTTTGGATCGTGTGAGGTGCTGTTGAGATGGGACTTTAACGGAGTTCTGTTTGGAGATCGATGGAGGACGACGGAGAGATGTTTGGAAGGAGGTAATCAATGGTTTTGGGTGTTCAGATTTTTCTTACGTCAATTTGTGGGATATTCGAGATCTTTTAGTAGAATTATTGCCAGGAGCACGGTAGATTAAAGAGAACGAACGTGGAAGGAGTTCCCTTAACGCCGGACGGCACCTATTATCGGACATCAGTCGTATCTGCAATAATTGAAACGCTATCGAGCCGTTATTCTGCGTATCTCCTAGAGGAGACGAAAGGATTAAAAATCAGTTTTCTACGCGTTTCAGTCGCGTGTGCACAGGTAGAGAGATTTATTTAAGAAAAACTTAAGCGTTCTTATCAAAAATTAATTCAGAAAACAAAGAATGCCAGAAAAGGTTCAACGTCAACTTAGCAATTTCAAAAATTCTTTCGAAGTAAGTTCAAAAAATGCTAAGTAATAATTTTAAAAATTAATCCAGAAAACGCTGAATATCAAAGGAGACTCAACACCGGCTCTGTAATTTGAAAAATTCCTTCCAAATAATTTGAACGTGAATTTTGAAAAATCTCCCAAAAATCTCTACAACGAAAAATTCCCCGAACCATCGAACGTCTCTCCATCCATCCGCCTTTCTTCCACGGCGACCCGTTAAAACCGCCACGTGACCCATCGCACACGATTCCCTCGTCAGAGACGCGATACGATCAGAGGTCTCTTTTCGTTCTGTTTCCCCGTATGTTTGTATTTCCCCTCTCCGAACCTGTGTGCAATCCGCGCTCGATTTAGACCCGAGCCGAGTAATCTCTCGACATGCCGGAAGAAGCGAACACGCCGACGATGTGTGTAGCGGCGAGAGAAAAGAAAACGAAAAGTTAGCGTTCGAGGACGTCTGATCAGACACATAGCGGATCTACTGTTAGAGGCGAGTAGAACAGCCTGTAGAATACGTCGACGATACGATCGTACAAGATCAGTTCTGTCGCGTCGTTGTGTATAACAGTTGTTTTTCTTAGCGTTTAGACGTTGTTCTAGTAGGATTGTTGTTCTTGCGCTGTTTTGCGAACGTGTTTAATGCTGTCTAGGAGATACTGTTGCAATATACGTATATTACATAACGTTGTTACCAACTGAGAAGCTGGCTGTTTCTTTAATCATCATCTGTCCAAGTATTAAAGCAATCGTAAAACATAATTCAAGAAGAAGAACGCGACGAAGCTTGAGAACAAAAAAAAGAATGGACTACACGCAGCTTCTGGCGACCTCTGAAAACGATAAGTAATATCCCAGCTTTTGCAAGTTGTTAGCCCGCCTTGTTTTTTTTTTTTGTTTTTTTTTTTGGATCGAATTAGGTAGTCGTCTGGGTTATCGTGGGTATGTTGTTTAGTTGTTTGATCAGAACACTAGTAGCTGTATACTCATCGTAGTAATCTTGCTGTCGGTGGGATGAGATCGTTCGAAAAAGCACACTAGTTCTCATTCTTCTTTTGGAATGAACTCCTTATCGTCGATTCTAACATTTCCAGAATCGTTAGAGTTAATCTAGAAATTAGGTTTATGTTTCACCGACAATATACGACACTTCCCAGATCACGAAGAGCATCTAGTTCATCATTCTCTAGCTAGAATGAATTATTCCATCATGCCAATGTCCACTTCAGATCATGGCTGATCGTGATTTGCAGTCAGGCTTAAACATTCTGGCTACTCGAATCTCGTTTGAAAAGTGTCACGAACAGCATGAAAAAATTCCCTTAGAATGTTAACCCTTTGACGTATGAATATTTAACACGAAATAATTTTTCATTCTTGTATTATTCAATTTTGTTACTCGTCGTTGTGTTCTACGTAAAGGAAGAGCAACGACGTGTCACGTTCGGTAGGTGAAATCGAAGGGTTAACGGAGATAAGTGAGATAATCGGGTAACATAGACAACTATAGCCTGTTCCGATTCTGCTGGCGTGCAAGGCCGCTTCCCCCACCACGAGTCTAGCGTTCCCCCACCCTCGTACGCTAACCGAGCGCAATGGTGGGGGGGTTTCCAACTGGTCTCTCCTGTAGCCTATAGCTTCTCATTGACCCTCGAGTAGCCGTTATCTTTAACCTCGACTACAGTTTGAAACGATCAAGAACTGAGTGGACCATCGGAACGAAGGGAAAATCTACAAGATGGCAGCGATTATCGATCGAGAAATCAAGGAATCTTTTTCCAAAGAGCTCGTTGCAGCAGCGCTTGTGGCGCGCTGTCAACGGAAATACCTGGCCGCTTGGCACCGCTTGAAAATAGATTGGCAGCAGTTCGCGTCGTTCGTTCGAAGCCGGCCGTGCACAGCGTAATAAAACCGCGTCGATCCTCGATTTTCCACCCTTTTCTTCAAGGGACAGAAGCCCTTGGAAGGGAAAAGAACGTTTGGTCGTTTCGGTGGAATTGTTCCCGATTGAAAGCTCGTTTTCTTCGCTTCTGTCTGCTGGAAGAAGGGAAAAGAAGAACGGAAGTGCGTCAGAAAGAGAGATCGTGATAAATGCGTCTTAGAGGGAAGGACGAAGGGTGATAATCGTCGAAATGTCGGCCACTGCTGGCTTACCAGGCTCCTCGAGGCAACCTGATAATTATGGTGAGCCATGGTTCCATTCTGTCTGACGATTATTGCGCCAGGAGGATCGATGTTTGTTTGTAGAGAGGAAAGGTAGACAATCCTTGTGAACCAGTGGATGTTTGGTTTGTGTGTATGGGTTGTACAGGTGGTTTCATAACGGGCAAACGTAAATTGCCTGACAGGAGTTGAATTTTGTTTGTGCGAGAATTGGAAGAAAGTTTGCAGGACTTTTGTGTGAAAAATTCTGTCGAAACTTCGAAATTGTTTAATCGTACCAAGTCGTTCATAAGTTTGATCGTAGATTGTTATTCGTATCAATAGCATTTTATTTGAAATTCGTAATTTGTTCTCCGCGCTACTCTGCTTCACTTCAAAAGCTCGCAGATCCAAAGTAACCGTTATGAAACACCCTGTATTCCCACTAGGATTCGTCATTTTCGGTAAAAATATCTTCCAATTGGGTAATTCTAAACCTTCAACCAAGACTGTCTATCAAACCACTCCGCTTCATCTTAGAATCTTGCAATATCAAAATAACCATTATGAAACATCCTGTATTTCCCCCAGAATCTTCGTCATTTTCGGTAAAAATACCTTCCAATTGAGTAATTTTCGAACCTTCGAACCAGAGACTATCTCGCCGTTCATTTTAGAAACTCACAGCTGTTATGAAACATCTCGACAAGACTCTTCGTCGCCTTTTTTCGGTAAAAATATCTTGGAGTATCCAGCGTGTCCCGTTAGATACTCCTTCTCGAGCGTTCTCCAAATGTGTCGCAAACGAGTCCGACGAGGATCGTACGCCAGACGATTATCAACGGTTCTCGAGTACCATCCGGGAATCGTGTCGACAGACGACAATCTCTGGCACGTCTCTCGCGAATCTTCGCATTGAAATCGACGTTTTCGTTTTCGCGCGCTGCGACCAGAACGGGCATCCGCGGCTCTTTCGATGATTAACGGCGTCCTCCCACGCGAGACGAACTTCCGACTCGGTTCGAATAGCCGCGATTCGTCGGGTCACGATCGTCAGCCAGCCCTCAACCGTTCTATTTCAGTCGCGACAAACCGTGTCTATGTCGGACTTGGAACAGTCTGTCCTGACTGTGCGCAACTATTCTCGTTCTACTTTAGCGAAGATCGCCGTTGCCATCGTGGCGGCCTCGGAGAACGCTTTCCGCTTCGGACGCTATCACGCGCGTGTCTCGTTGACGCTCCTCGAACGCCACGCAGATGAGGCTGAAACGAAAAGCGACTGATTTCAACTCGTGCAAACGTACTTGACACTTGTCACGCTCCTTTATTTCTTCTTTCTCCGCAGATCTTCTGAACCGGGAGCAAGTGTGTCGTACAAAGTCAGTTCTTTCTTCTTCTTTCTTTTTTGAAGATCTTGTATCGTGTCAGTATTGTGTGTATTCTTGGAGAAGCAAGTGAATCGTGATTGTTTCTACGAGTGAACGCATCGGTTAACGTGGAAACGAACTGGCTGAAACACAGTTGTTCCTGTGGTTCCTATTGTTCACCGCTTCTTCTGCTAACAGCAACGTTTGCGGCCTTAACTGTGACTTCCTTCGCTTGTTCTTGCTTCAGACTGTTCTCTGTGCTCTCTAAGTGGATCGTTATAAGGATCTTCTATGGAAATTGCGTCTTTTACGCGAGGAATCGTTTATTTGGCGATGCTTGTCAGGTGAACTAGACTGACTTGCGACTCGGTCTAGCTAATCGTTCAGTACAACGATCTACAAATTGAGTTTATCTTCGGTGATCAGTTTCTAGCAATACTAATACACAAATTCTCGATTTTAACATGTTGTAAAATCCTTGATAATGATTCTATACCAAACTGGCAACATCCACTAACTCCTGGCGCTATTGACTCGATATTGTGCAACGCTTATCCTCCAATCTAATCTTCCATGCGTTTGCACGTCCATTTTAACGTCTTCTCGAACCTTCTAAAAAGGAGAAACTCTTTCGAAGGCTTCTGTACCCTGTGAAATAATCAATCCAAGTGTTTCACTAACGTCTGCTGCCAATGATCATTCATAACTTAACCTCGATGGGCCGAACTGAGACATGGTCTAGCTAATTGTGTCCCCGTGAGCTGTTTCTGTGGAGTCTCTGTTGCGTTTGGACTTCTCTGGTCCGTGTTGACCGATTTCTCTTAATTAGCGGACGATTCTAATCGTTGCAATTCGAACTCTTCGACTAAAGGCCCCGCCTCCCAGGGCACACCCCCGAACAGTCCCGCCGCTGTGTCCGCGTTCTCCAGAATAGTGGGGGCGGCAAGCCAGACGAACAAGCAAGCCCAGAACCAGGTTCAGGGAAGCCCCCTTGGAATTGCCGCGGTACTCCTACAGGGAGCACAAGGTAAATCGGGATGGTGAGACTGAATCGAGACGAAAGCACGGTGGATTCGGTGAGAAACCTTTGGAAGGGCTGATTATGTATATCTTTGGGTCGAAATTTTGGGTAACTCTTGGTCCATGAGGACATTTTCAATGGGACTAAGTTTAGGGTGATAGTTTTTTGCTGTGACAAAGGCTGGAGTGATAGTATTTTACTGTGACAAAGGCTAGAGTGATAGTGTTTTACTGTGATAAAGGCTAGAGTGATAGGTTTTTGCTGTGAAAAAGTATAATGTGATGTCTTTCAGTGTGAAAAAATTTAGCCACAGTCTTCTGCTGTGAAAAAATTTTGAAACGGGATTCTTTCATAAAAGCACTTGTTAAAGTTGAAAATGATTTCAGAGACTGAAAACGGAAACTTTGTCAATATTTCGGTGTAACTTTTTGCATTTGGAAGAGATTGTTTAATTGAGTTGCATACTGGCATTTTAAAAGTGAAAGATTCAATATACAGTGTGTTTCAAGAGCAGAGTGACAAATCTTAAAATTTAATAAGGTAACCACTAAAAAATATAATAATCTATTTCTCAGAAATAAAAATTCTGAATTTTCTCCAATTCCTTTCGTATCTCTTCACTCTGCATACGTTAAAACGAAAGTATCAATTAAACAACATTGAAAATTTCTTTAAAATTCAGTTCTTCTATAGCACGACTCAAAATTTAATTAACGAACACCAGTAAAATAAACGTTACTCGAGTCGTTAAAAAAAAAAAGGCGAATAAACGGACCGAGAGTTAACACAGATCTGAACCCGCTGATTCCAGTTACGAGTGTCCAGGTCACGTGTTTATAGCCGTTGTGTTGGATCAATTGGATCACGAGCCCTTTTTTTTTTTTTTTGCATCGTAGAAAAATACGAGGCTAACGCTTGTGTGTGCGCGTGTGTCCTGTTTAATATTTTACGAGCGGCATATACTCGCCGGAATAATTGCCCCCGCCTTTTACGGCGCCTCCGGCTTAGCAGCCCGGAACAAAAATGGCGCCGGTGGATCCACCGTTCTCCACCGTACTTTCGCCTCCCTCTTCTACGTGGAGGAAAGTTTTTGTCACTTCCGCCTACGCCAGCGTCGATCCTTTGAAACTTCATCGTTCCGATGAACAAAGAAAACTGGGATAAGAAAGAGAAGTTTATCGATCTACCTCAAGATCGAATGGTATCCACGTATCGTTTCTCTCCTTTTTTCATACATACTTTAACGAACTTTCTAATTCACCGCAAAGAAATGGACGAAAACAATTCAACTTCTGATAGAGTACGTACTTTGAATATCTCTTCGAAGAGAACAAGGATGAAAGTGTCTTAAATATGTTTTTCTACGAAGCCTGTCCTGTGCAATCGAAACTCGTTCGAGAAACGAAAGAAAAAGAACTGGATGTTCGTTGGAATGAACGAAGGAACGGAATAGAATCGATGTATTTTACGGAGAAAAAGAAAAATTAGCAAGGAAAGAACGAAGAGCGACGAGAAACGAAAGGAAAGAATCTCGCGAGGACCGATATAAATCGTTTTGTCTTCTTCTGCTCGTTTTTCCCCCCCATTTTTTATTCGTCGTACGTTCGAGGTAACGTGCAAGAGAACGCGAGAACGGGGTGAGAATAATCGGAGCGCCGTTGCATTACGAGCCTTATTTTTTTTCTTTTTCTTTTCCTTACCGACGAGTAAAGGTTTCTTTACGATCGGTCCCGGGCGAAATTGCAGGCTCCCTTTGCGGCTATTATCGGGAATTGCGCCACGGTGGCGCAGGACTAGGGAGACGTAGGCACGAGGCGAGGATACCGACACTCGGCCGACGAGCCCTCCCCGACGAATCGGTAAGACTTTCTGTCGCGATCGAAACCGAATTTTTTCTGCCGGAATCTCGAGGACTCCTGTGTCGAGGCCACGTCCTCCGATTATCGAAGGAGCCTTGTCTGATGAACGAATGCTGAAAAACGACGGTGGTACTTTTCTCATGCTCGAAGGACCGAAGTTTAGGGGATCGAGGATATGAATTTTGAGTAGTGCCGATTGTTGCGGAGTGGAAGTGGCAATTTTTCGAAATTTTAACGCTTTGGAATTGTGGAAATTCGGGATCTTGAAATTTTGGAATGTTCAGATATCGGAATTCTGGAATTTTGTGAATTTTGAAACTTTGGAATCTTGAGATTTGGTAGTTTTTAACTTTCGGGATCTTCAGATTTCGGAATTTTGGAATCTCCAAGTATTGTAATTCCAGAGTTTTCCCGTTTTCAGATGTCGGAATTCTGGAATTTCGTGAATTTTGGTATCTTGAAACCTTGAAATTCTCGAATTCTGAACTTTCGGGATCTTCAGATTTCGGAATTTTCTAATTTTGCAATTGTAGAATCTGGAAAATTTTGGAAATTTTACTATTGCCAAATATCAGAATTGTAGAATTTCGCGAATGTTTGAACTTGGAAATTAAATATACGATAAGCGGTCCTTCAAGCATCGACCACTGTAACTCTCACCCAAAAAGTTCGACGACTACTCATATAAGACTAATAAGATACTCGTGCGAACCTTCAAACACTGTTTTTTCAACCAGAAACAAGACAAGAAGACCGACTCGCTAGGCAGAAATCGGTGAGTCCCTCTTAGCAGTCGAAGCATGACTTGGATTTTTTTTACTCCTACGATTTTTACTCTCTTTTGGCCACACACACGTAAAACACACACGCAGTACATACATATACACATATAAAAACACACACACACACACACTGGTCAACGAGACCAGTAACGCGATAATCTTTGTCACCTTGCAACAACGAGTTCACGCTTCGCGGCCTTAGATTTTTCACAGCCCTTGATGCTTGCTCCCCCCACCAACCCTTGTGTCTCTTACTCTTTCTCTCGATTTCACTTATCGATTTATTTTTTTTTTAATCCATTTTTCTCACCAAAAATATCAGTCACACGTAAAAAAAAAAAAAAAAAAAAGTGTCGAATATCGTAATTTGCACCAGTTCATGATTTTTCATTGATTCCCTTCGATTCAACCGTAAGAGATTCTCTGCGAGAACACACCGAGATCGTGATCGTCATCAAGCTTCACTTTTTTTCATTCGGATCTCGTCACGTTTCACCTAGTACTGTCTGATCTAGATTAATCGATCGAACGATCTTATAGAGTTTGTTACAATTCTCTCTCTCGTGTGAGGGTCGTCCCTTTATTTACGAGCACCTCGTATAGCCGCCTTGCATTTTGCCAAAAATCTCGCTTCCGAATTTTCGATTTTTTCTTGTTCTCTCCTTACCTATTTTTGTCTCTTGTTTTCTTTTTGGTACTCTCTCTCTCTCTTTCTCTCTTTCTCTCTATCTCTCTCTCTATCTCTCTCATAACGATTCGATGCACTCTCGTGGACAATTTAGCTAGAATTTCCATGGTGTTCGTCGATAGAACACGATAGAAAATGTAGCTTTCTGTCGTGCATCCTGTAATCCTCCCCCAGTGCACTCTGATATTCGCTCTAGTTCTGTATTCGTGTATTTCGAGCACTGTAACAGTTTTATTAACACCCATGTCCTTTCCATTTTCAAGATTAACATTTTCCATGCTTCCTACACTACGGTTGAACAATAGACTAGAATTAGCGCTTCGAGTATGTTCCATCCTGCTGTGGAAAAATATACCGAACCAATATTTTCCATTCTGCCGTCGAAGAATATACCAAATCAATATTTCCTATCTCCAGTGCAAACCAAAGTTAAAATCATCCACCCAAAAATTTTCCGACTCGAACATCATCAAACGGTCGAAAAAAAAAAAAACTAAATATCTCTCTGTTATATTACACTCCTTCAAAAATCCTCCTACAACGATACTCGTTCAAAAAAATCTCCAAGGAACCAAGCTGAAATCACCAAATACCATAAAAAGTATAAAATAACTCTGTATTTTTCCAAAATCTGAAGAACCACCTCTCTACATTCTCCCCGTCTCTCCCTCTTCCCAAAATTCTCCCCGAAGGGTAGCGATTGGAAAGGAAGGAGAAAAAAAAGATATCTCAGCTAAAGATTAACACGAGAGTGTAACGATCGAACCAATGACGGTACGGTATAAAAAGCGACCAGAAGCGACCGGGAGGAAGCTGTTTGGAGGCTGACAGTAGCTCGTCTTTTGGTTGGTTGGTTGCATGACTAGCTGGCAGCGCAGGAAGTGGTAGCAGCAGTGGTAGCAGCAGCAACAGCCAGAACAGCCAGACTGGCGCTTCACCGTCCTCACCGGCTGCCGTCTACATTGGCAACAACCACGCGGCGACGCCCACGGCACCGTCGCGACGCTACTACGACTCCACGAACAACGGTCTGTATTCATTTCACACCTCTAACTGTGGCTTTCTTCTCTGGGCTCCTCCCTTCCTCTCTCAAATTCTACCCTGCTTCTTCTTCCTGTCCGCGGTGCTTGGTTTATCCGCGAAGACCTACGAAGTTCCTGATCTAATTGCGACGAACTGTCGCCAAATGCTTGCAATTTTTACGGTACACGCTCGTAATTCGTGCGATTGACAGAATTGACGTGTAAAATTTCACAGCTCTGTCCTTCTCCTTTCTTCGTTTCACAGCTGACGAAGTAGAGGTGTTCGCGGTGATGGAGTAGAGATGGAGAAAAGTGAGAAACGAGGAGTGATCCAATATCTTGTACGGCCTTTTGGTGCGAGGCCTTTTATCATCGGGTAGATATTGGATCGCTGCTCGTTTCTCACTTTTGTCTATCTCGGTTCTGTCGCAGAAAACACCCTCCGCCTTTGCCAGCTGTAAAAGTGGAGAAGACAAGTGAGATCGTATATGGTAACAATTACAAATAGCAATAGTTCTTCGTACTTAGGACACAAATTCTTCGTACGATCCTCGTTATGCTTCTTTGTCCCATATTTCTTCTCTTCTAATTTGTTGTATTCTACTCGTTTCTCGTTTCGTTGGTTTATATTTTTTCAATATTGTTTCAATTTTTATCCCGGTGAACTGGTATTTATATACATACGTTCGATGCATCGTTGACTTTTTGGGAAGAGTACACGTTGTATATTGATGGCGAGAGTTTTTGTTATTCGCGATACTTTTCCCCCGGGTGTTCGTCAGACGAAATTGGAGAGGTTTTATTTTTTGTAATATTGAGAAGGCGAAGGACGATGAATTCGAAAGGAGAATTGGAGGCTTTTCGAGTTCTAACGGTGGAACGTGTCGTTCGAAACGATCGTCGATAATGCGTTTCATTGTACGGAAACGTGCGCTCGCTACCCGCACCATTGTGCGGCTTGATTGATTCCCATAATGGCCAAAAGTGCATTTATCGCGACGAGGCCCATAAATCAGCTTCCCATTTCGCAAATGGAACGACACTTTTACATTGTGTCCGGCAAATGGGACGCCAACCCCTGAAACGTATCACGATCTCCTCCATATTGCGCAAACTTGTCGCTTTGATGATAATAGCTGGTGTAATTTATCCCAGGATTGCTCAAAATTCGATTCGCTCTGATTAAAAATTGTGTCGGAATCGTCTTCGAAGCCTCGGATTCAATTCAATTCGTTACAAATTGATTTGATAATTGTTTAGACGTTGGCTCAAACTTGGCTCAAAATTGGCAAAAAAATCGGCTCATAAATGTCCCGTGTTTGAGCAGGTTTCTCAAAATTGGCTCATAGTTGGCTCAAAATTGGCTCAAAGCAAACTTCAACATCTACGCTACCTCAAAATTACCTCGAAGACAACTAAAAGTAGCCCGAAACTCGTCTAACAAGCCTCTCCCCAGAACCTCTACGACAAAACGCCATTCTCGATATTCTCACTCTACTCAAAAGGAACGATGCATTAAATCTCTCCCTTTTCCTCTCCGAATGAAAACACCCTACAGAGAGTACCTTGGGCACCCTCCTCACATGATTTGCACTCTTCTATCATTCGTTCCCCTTCTGCCAGAGGGGAAAGCGGGTGGTTTGCCCTTTAATTTCTTTTGGGAAACGTGTTCGATGACCCTTCTTCTCCCCGTGTGTTTCTCCGCATGTTCCGGTTGCACGCACCCGCTGGCATGACGCGTCGATTTTCGATTGCATGCGCGACCCGGTACCAATCGAACCAAAAAAAAAAAAAATCTATAAAACAACAACAATAAAAACACATCAGAAGCGGAGACACGACGACTAGGAGGAGCGGGATACATGCAACTTGGCCAGGCCGAGTGCTGCGACATGGAAGACGGTAAGAGGAGCACCGACGCCGGTAAGGTCGCAGGGAAGTCGAAAAAAATGATGGACGAGGACGCCTGCTCGAAGCTTAGGCGGTGTTGCCTCTTGTCGTGAAATTTTCAGCCTCGCGACGCTGAACGAAAAATACCTCGAGCCGTTTAACACGGCTCAAAAAAATCTCTCTTTCTCTACATAGGCACGAATTCTGATTCTCTCTGACATCGAACGATGTATTTTGAGAATAGTTTCACTTGGAGACACGGATTTTTGTCTCGACGTCTTGGAAAATGTAAATTTTCGAGATTTTCATTTCGATCGGGGAATTTTGAGGCTCGTACGGCGTCGCGAATGAGGCTCTACGCATGTCCTTTGTTTTGCTTTTCTGGAGACCAGTTTTTTTGGGTGTCCCTACCCTTTTTCTTTTTGGATGCCTGGTGTTCGGGTCACGACGTGATCTCTGGTACATTTTTTTCTTCGTAGACCTCGCTGAAACGAGCCGCTGCACGACGGAATTCTTTCGAGAATGGCTAAATTTACATAACTAATTTGCAGTATCGAGTATCAGAGATGGTTAATTAACGCGAATTTCGTCGTGAAATGAGTCTCGATCGCGAGTAGTCACGATTTTGTTTCGGACGGCAACCCGCAAGTAGTAAGTATCGATTTTGGTCAGACAAGGAGCCCATCGACAAGGACACAGCCACGTCGACGGATATCCAGCAACACTTAGGCCCATCGCACGACTATAATTTTCTGCATTTAAAGAGAAAACGAGCGATTCGAAGATTTTCACGAAAATTCTCCCCTTTTCGTTCTCTATGGGACGAGGGATGCAAATCGAAGGGGAAGTTCCGCGAATCGATACTGTACCCGTGTCTACCCCATTATGTTCGTCCCGCATTATGTATCGCAAAGTTTAGTGTGCAAGCTGACGCTCGTAAAATATCATTTCTTTATGCTTGTCGAGTAATTTCGAGAAAAAAGTATTTCGTAAAAAACATGTTACAGTTTTTAAATAATTTTCCAGCAAACACTCTTCCACCGAACTTCTTTCAAACTTCAAATTCTCTCTCCGAGTGTTTCATTTGAAATTCTCTCTTTCTTCGTTATTAAATTCGTCGTTAAATATTTGTCTGCAACAACGGAACACTCTGTAGACGATTACACGCAGTCGCGATTCCCGGAAGCGAGCGGTAAGCAGAGCAGCCTTGAAATAATTGACGAAAGAAGAATCCTCCGAGCCTTTTGCTAGATTCTAATCGGATTGACAGAGTGTGCGCTTGTTAAGTAACTGATCTACTTAATAGCCGAGCACGAAATGATATTTTATCCGCGTAGAAACATTGATAATTAGGCTGTCGTCCACGCTACAAATCCACGTGTAATCCATGTGTAGGCGCAAACTGTGAACGTACCAATAAAACTTGTGAAACCCGATACATACGTTGTGTTGTACAAAGAACGAAACGAATCTCATCGGACAGGCTTCGTAGTTAATTACATTATATTTTAAGCTAGTCTGCTGGTAGAAGAGTGTGGTCGTTTCTTTTTTTTTTTTTTGGTGGGCAGCATAAATCATTTCTTTTTTTTTCTCCTTATTTTCTTTCGCGTTGTACAATACTTTACACGACCGTAATTCTCGAACGCTGATGAAGGAGAAAATAGTAGTATAAAAAGAAGGGAAAGAAATATTATCGAAGAGAATGCGAGGCTTCTAAATGAACTATCTATACATATATATATATATATATGATTAAACGCTGCTTCTCTCGCAAAAACTGGTATAAAATATACATACATATCGCCTCGACGATGCTGTAAAAGCTATCTCGTTGCATACGTATCTGTCTCGTTTACTTGTGTCCTTTTTTTCGCATCGTCCTTTTTTCATCCTCTTTTTTGCGTTTCGATGGCGAAGGACACTCGTCACGGTGCGTGTACATTTTCGTTACGTGCATATGTACCGGGTGGTTCGTTGGTTCGATGAATAATCGACGAGAAAATACGAGATGTCTGACTGTGTGTAATGTTGTACTACTTAAATTGGTCTTGCTTCGTTCTCTTGCATTTGCTTGACTAAATTAGGTGAAGCTTGTTAAGTAAAATTTCTGTGAACGTGACGATTATAACATTTCAATTTTTGAAAAGTGTTTTCTTCCGAATTTTTTAATATTTTTTTTGGGGGGGGGGGGGTTGTAGATATAGTTGAAAATTTGTTCGTTTAAAGCGCGACGTCTCTGAATGACCGTTGTTAAATTTCTGATCTGTGATCGAGTCGACGAATCGCCTGGCGTGCATTGTAAGATACTCATCGCTTCCAGTGAACGTACGCAATATCGTTTCGACAACTAGATTCAAGCGCCATTTGACTCTGCGGCCAAGCTAATCGCGCGCTTGCTCGAGTCGCGTCGCTTTCGTCACGTTCTCTCTAAAGTTGTAATAAAAAAGCAAAAAAGAACGAGATAAGAAAGAGAAAAGAAGGAGACAAACGCGACATCGTGAAACACGCACAGTGGCTGGCTTCGTGAGCGGCAGTCGATATTTCCGAAAGAAGCTTGGACAGAACCGGGTCGCGTAAACGAATCCCGAAACGCCAGCAGAAACGAAGAGTCTAAAAAGCACGTAGCAAAGGCTGACACAGGGGAAGAAGGAACAGGAAGAAGAGAAAAAGCTTTCGAGGACGAGATGGGACCTGAGGAGACGGTTAATCCTCTTTGCGCGGGGATTAAGCTCCGCGACGTTTCGCTCCAACTATCCGAAAAATAGAGGAAAAAAGAAGATCGTTCTTTCCACTTGCAATCTTCGAGAATTCTTAAGGAAAACCGAAGTTAAGTCGAGAAGAGAACGATTATTCGCGATTTTTCCAAATTTTCACCAAACATTCCATTATTCGCGATTTTTCCAAATTTTCACGAAACATTTCATTATTCGCGAGATTTACAAATTTTACGAAACTCTTCGTTGTTCGCGAGATTTCCGGATTTGACGAAGCTTCGTATTTTCGCGAAATTTCCAAATTTCACGAAGCTTAGGAAAAGCTGATCAAACGCGGCGTGACTTAAAAATTTCTCGAACAGCGCCGTCGACTTCGTTACCGGAAGTAATCGTCCCAGCGGACCTTAATCTTCCGCGAAGTAACGCTTGAAACCTCGCAAAAAAAAAAAAAAACGTAAAGAATCCTCCTGCTGCGAAAAAAAATGATTCGTTCATAAATTACGAGAAATAAGAGAAAAAAAAAAAAAAAACGTAAAGAATCCTCCTGCTGCGAAAAAAAATGATTCGTTCATAAATTACGAGAAATAAGAGAAAAAAAAAAAAAAAACGTAAAGAATCCTCCTGCTGCGAAAAAAAATGATTCGTTCATAAATTACGAGAAATAAGAGAAAAAAAAAAAAAAAACGTAAAGAATCCTCCTGCTGCGAAAAAAAATGATTCGTTCATAAATTACGAGAAATAAGAGAAAAAAAAAAAAAAAACGTAAAGAATCCTCCTGCTGCGAAAAAAAATGATTCGTTCATAAATTACGAGAAATAAGAGAAAAAAAAAAAAAAAACGTAAAGAATCCTCCTGCTGCGAAAAAAAATGATTCGTTCATAAATTACGAGAAATAAGAGAAAAAAAAAAAAAAAACGTAAAGAATCCTCCTGCTGCGAAAAAAAATGATTCGTTCATAAATTACGAGAAATAAGAGAAAAAAAAAAAAAAAACGTAAAGAATCCTCCTGCTGCGAAAAAAAATGATTCGTTCATAAATTACGAGAAATAAGAGAAAAAAAAAAAAAAAACGTAAAGAATCCTCCTGCTGCGAAAAAAAATGATTCGTTCATAAATTACGAGAAATAAGAGAAAAAAAAAAAAAAAACGTAAAGAATCCTCCTGCTGCGAAAAAAAATGATTCGTTCATAAATTACGAGAAATAAGAGAAACAAAAAAAAAAAGCACACATGAAAGTTTAACAAAAGAAAAAAAGAAAGGGTGTCTATATATAAATATGTGTATGTATATATTATATATATATTGCTTGTAGAAATAAGAATCGTGTGTCCAATCAAGACCTGCAGCCAGCTCCCGACGAACTCCCAGTGTTCAGGTAACGGAAGAACCTAATCTCACCTATCTCACTCAAACTTTCTCTCTATTCTATATTTCTACTCTATACTATACTCTCTTTATCTATCTTATCTATCGAGCTCTGTGTTTCTCTCTATCGAGCAAATCAACGAAGATATAAAAAAAAAAACGAAAGAAACAACAAGAACGAAGAGAAAGAGACGAAAATGCACAGCACACGAGGAGGGGGAACTTTTTTCAACCCCGATTCCTCGAGAAAAATCTCACGATTTTTTTCCGTTTAATGTGTGTACACACGTTTGTTGGGGTAGCGCAATTGGGGTAGCAGCTATGGCGTCACGACGACAAGCTGTGACGGTGGTGGTCGTTAAACAAACACGAAATTCGTTTGCTTTCCTCTGTCACGTTTATTTATGCATTTTTTTTTTATCACACGACAGTCACTTTTTTCTTGTCCAAGTGGCAAATTGAGCTCGCGAGAACTTCGTTTTGAGAATGATCATTCCAGGTTGCTTTCTCGATCGCTCCGTTTGTCGGAGACCGTCTGAGAACGCAACACTTGTACACGTAGAAACGTACGTACCGTGTGTGTGTTTATTCGAGCACATTGATGTATAACAGAGAGTGCTGGGAAAATTTTGGAAGCAACGAGAAAGTGGAACTTGCATAGTTTGTCAAAGGAGAGAGGTAATTTCTTGGAGGATCCAAGCTTCTAGCGATTCGTGAACAACGAGAGAGCAACGACACAGTGTATAAATTATCAACGAACGTGTCGGCTCGTTGTGTCTCATTCGCGAGAATTTTCGCAGGGCATCGAAAAGAAAAGGAAAGAATTCTCGTCGTCGCCGCGTCGAGGCAACGGCGATCGAAACGGAGAGAACGAAGTTGATTCGAGCGACGCGTGCAACGACGAGACACGCTCGATCGATTCCATTTGACTAGATTGCACCGTTATTTCCTCTTTTTCTTTTTTCTTTTTTCTCTCTCAACGAGGACTCGTCCTTTTGTCACGGAGGAGAGGTGCGCATCTTCCGCGAACAGGAAATCTGTGCTCGTCAAATGGAAGAAGGAAGTTTGCGTGACGAACGAATTGCCGATCTTCGAACGATCCTATTCTCTTCGTTAATTGTTATCTTCTTTCTTATCGTGAAACTTGAATGATTTGATAATGAAAGTTTCACAGTTTGTGTATATATGTTTCTTTCGGAAGGATCATTCGAAGGTCTGATTTCATTGGAGTCTGTTTAGAATCGTGGTAGATCTTTTTTCCCGCACTCGAAAATCGTCTGGGAATAGAGAATTGTTTGGATGTGTACGCGAAAGGTAATGTGACATGTGGTTTTCAGTTATTCGTTTTTTGTGACGACTCCAATGGGTTACGTATAATATGTATATCAATGTATAATTTATATATATATATATACGTATTATTTGATAAGAACAATCTTTGGCGTAGGACGTAGAAGTTGATAAAGATTCGTGCATGTGACTGTGTTGTGCCGTACGATGTGTCGGTATGAGCCCTGATCGTCTATCTTTTTGTTGATCGATCGGGCGTGCCGATCGCGCCGTTTCCACTGATCGATAATCTGTTGACGATTCCAGCACGCCGTCAGGAGATCATCAAGATGACCGAGCAGCTTATCGAAAGCATCAACACTGGCGATTTCGAGGCGTACACGTAAGTCGCATCGAACGATGGATCAATTTATTCCGGGGAAAGGTTTCCTATCGCTGCACCGAAATGTAGGAAAAGTAGACGGAATTCACTTGCAAACTTTTTATTAGAAATCGTTGGAAAATAAGTTGATAGTTTTATAAATTTACTCGGAGTGCAAGAATCACTTGAAGCGTAATATTTTAGTAAAAATCATTGGAAAACGGTAATCAGAGAAGGTGTACTTCGTGTACTGAAAATTGTGCAAACGCAGTCGAAGGAAGATGAGAATACATTTGTTAAAACGACAAATTGGGATGATTCTAACGTGACTTACGCTTCCAGGAAAATCTGTGATCCACATCTGACCGCGTTCGAGCCAGAGGCTCTAGGTAATTTAGTCGAGGGAATGGATTTCCACAAATTTTACTTTGATAATGGTAATTATGACTCATTTGCATCACTGTTACTCGTACCGCGCTGAACAACCGGCCGCACCATTGTGTCTACGTTGTTACCTACGTTTTGATTCGTTCATTTTCATTGCTGCATGGCCGTGTGTCGTGCCCACGAGAATCGGGTCTTCCTCCTTCCGAGTTTCACGCTCGTACGGACGCGACACGTTGAACCTGGCGTTAACGCGTTTCCTATGCGGGCGTTGAAGTCTCCCGATCGATCGGTCCAGTTCTCGTCGAATTTAACGTCGATGCAGCTTCTTATTGCACTTTCAATTGGCTTTTTCCATGTTGATACAGACGCTGAACGCAGGAAATCTCTCGCGAACGATGATATTTTAATCACAATTATTAATTACTACCGAAATTGTTACAATTATCACCGAATGATTCGCGAAGATATCCAAGTATTGAATCCAAGTTAGTTCGTGAAAATATCGTTCAGAGACGTTATTTTGTTCGTTCAGTGAGAAACATTTAACCTACTAATTCGATAAGTGCTTTTTTTTTCCATTGTTTTTGATTGTGTTACGTAGTAGAACGATTTCTCGCTTGATTTCTTTCCTGTTCCTCTCGTCGTTGTCGACGAGAGTTTCAGCGGTGTGACCAAGTAACGCGCAGATTCTCGAGTAACGAGCGTTTTGCTTTTCAAATCTACAAGCAGTCCTGGGGAAAAATTGCAAAGCCGTGAACACGACGATCTTGAACCCCCACGTGCACCTGTTGGGCGAAGACGCCGCGTGCATCGCGTACGTCAGGCTGACGCAGTACATGGACAAGTGAGTTTCCACTTTTTAATTATACTCTAGAGAGATTCAATTTCTGTTTTTACCCTCAGGACGAGATTTCTCACGTCCGAATAAAAACTCGTGAAATGGTCGATGTTAACACATTAAGGACCGCTAAGAAATCTATAAGACATACGCCTAGGACCGCACGTTTTTGGGCAAGCTTGCACGTTACTAAAATCCTCATTACTTTTTTATTTATGAAGCAATTTTTGCGAAACTTTCAGAAATTGTAAAATAAGATGCATCTTAGGTATTATTGAAAAAAAATTATGTTTTTTAATAATTATCATAAAATTTTATTTAAAAATCAATTTTACCAAAGTTTCTAGTACTTTTTTAAAGTATGATATTGCGTGAAAGATTTTTCTCTATGAAGAGGAACCATACAAAATTTACGTATATATCTTGATTCGCTTCGAAGACGAAGACTATTCGAATCACCAAAATGCAATGCAACGTGTCGAATTTTCTCTGAGACTAAGCTGTTTTTATTTCGGGTTCGTGCATTTGTACAGTCTTTCATAGCTTGACCTGTACGGTTTCCACCAATGGGATGAGACGAAAACGGTTAATACATTGACTATTGATGTAAACACTTAAATGGACAAAGTAGATACAATGTATCCAAGTAATTGTCAAAGGGTTTGTCTCGTGATCCGTCCGTAACAGACGGGGCGCGCAGCACGAGAAAACTCGTGAGCGGTACGTGACAGATGGGGCGCGAACCACGAGAAAACTCGTGAGTGATCCTTAATGTGTTAAGTCTCAGAGTAGATTTGGGAAAACGTTTATTCGCGCGGCAAACGTGAAAGGGTGAAAAGAGGAAGAAGAGCGATAGAGACAGAGAATGAAGATTTGTTTGCATATGTTCCAGGCAAGGCGTAGCGCACACTTATCAGAGCGAGGAGAGCCGCGTGTGGCACAAGAGGGACAACAAATGGCAGAACGTGCATTTCCATCGAAGCGCGGTCACGGGCCCTTCGCCATTCGCCTTCAATCACAAGTAAATCGGTCGACGGTGAAAAAGAATAAAAAGGAAGGAAGTAGAAGGAGAGCCGATGTGTCGGTGGACGCTCGTCTCCTCGACGCGTGGAACGAACGAACCGTGCAAGAACACATTACACACACACACACTCACACACGTAATACAAGTATACACTTAAACCTATACTTCTCCGTCGAATAAATGGATAGATACACGGTGAAATCGTGTATCTGTTTATTTATTTATTTATAGATATAAGTACATATATATATACACACAGACAGACAGACACACATGAACACGCGTATAGTTAGTATTAAGCGCGACAAGAAATGGAAGAGGAACGATGAAAAAAAAATCGCGAGATAGTGCCGGGATACGACGGCATCTTTGAGCTCGCTTCAGTACCTGCTCAGCGTGTACTTACCACGAAGCATCGCGACCGGTGCCATGGTGTGTCGATGATGGAACGACTTCCGGTGGATCTGCAGAATCGTGTTCTTACGGAGGAGGACCAACAGGATGGGAGAGATATATCTGGTAACCACGAGGAAGAAAGTTGCACGTTGCAGGATGCTGTTTATTCTGTCCTTAATATAGAGCAAACACGTCGAAGATCTTGTTAATAGAACTTCGATACCGAGCTGATAAAACAGTTACAGAAGAGTAAATAGATAAGAAGATAGATATCCTGCAAGATTAGAGATTCCAGTATTCGAAATAAACATAAATTTGTCAAGATGAAGCGCAAAAACATGGTCTGAAGAATCGTCTGGTCAACTTTTTAAAAGAACTCGAGTAATAGTGAGGATGGTAAGGAACAGAATAGGCTATCGTGCAACCGTGAAGACCACAGAAAAGAGGAAAACCACAGAGGAAGTTTGAAGAAATGGAGCGGAAAGGTGTTCCAGTGGCATCGACGAGGTCAGCGGTGGACGTGAAACGGGAAGAACGCGGTTAACCAGGGGAGAGGATGACCGGAAGTATGTTATACATATGCATATATAGAGGTGCACGGAGAGAGAAGAGAAGAGAGCGCGGTGATATGTCACCGCGTGGGAACATTGCGGCGGTCGACGAAAGGAGATGGCGCCGGCACGTCGGCATCCAACGCGTATTTAGTTCGTACGATAGTCGCTGTACAGAACAATCTTCCATTGTAACTTTTTTCTTCTAATTTTCGTTCTCGTCTCTCGCTACGACGACACACTCACCGAGAAATCCAATGTAGATTCGCGCGCGCGCTCTTATACACACACGAAATGAATACACATAATACACAGATGTTCCGAAAACAAGTTTGTAATGTACGTGCAGTGTCATTGATCGTTTTTTTATTATTTATACATATAA